AAAAAAAAAAAAAAAAAAAAAGAAAACAATCAAAATAAGGATATTCACGAAAAAAAGACCCTTGTTTTCAATATTGGAATGGAATGAGAGGAAAATCTTATTTCGGAGATTGGAATCTGTAAAAGCAGAATCATAGCACACGTACATATCCTTATCAATTAAGGAACAATTTTGTGGGCTTTCATTTTGTGAATAACAGAAAGCAGCGAAGTCTCAGAGTTCCTAAATCCAAAAAACCCGCGCTCCTTGCTCTTGTTCATGCTGTCCAGCATACACTCTCCTAAAAGCATCAAATCCGCAAACCAGAAACTAAAGTCCTCCAACTTGGTCCCCGTGAGATTATTGCTGTCCACGATCTCATCCCAAACGGCTCCTTTATCCTTCATCCTCTCCGCCAGGCTGACATAAGTCTCGCTCTCGTCAAACTCCACGTACTCCACATCAAACCCATCCGCCAACACCTTCCACAAATGCTTCCATTTGAAAACGTCACCATTACTGCAGTTAAACGCCTGGTTCTTCCCGTTGGGCTCCACGCAGCACCATATCTGCTGCTCCGCAATCAAGTCCGCGTCAGAGGCCACGAAATAGCAGTTCCAGGCGGCCTTGGTGCCAGGGAACTTCAACGGGGCCTTCTCGTGCTTGCAGACGGCAGCATACACGCACAGAGCCCCCACCAAGTTCATCATGCTGTAGGGGGAGAACCCAAATATGACAGCCGGCCTGTGGACGGACCATGTTAGGCTGTGGTGCCGCGCGCACGTCTCGAGCGCGATGTCCTCCAGCGTGTAGTAGAAGTTGGGCGCGTCGAGCCGCGGAACGTCCTCCACGAAGGGGGTCTCGTGGGGCTTGATCTTCCCGAACGCCTCGAACGGCCCGATGTAGTGCTTGTGGCCCGTCTGGATGCAGATGTGGGCAAGGCCTGGGGCATTGGGGACGATGGCGTCGAGGACGTTGCGGAGCATGGCGCCGTTGAGTTGGCAGCACTCGGTCTCCGTGGGTCGATTGGCCCACGTGACCCAGAAGATGTGGGTGACGTCGGCTAGGGACGAGAGCTTGGCCCTGGCATCTGCCGAGTCAGCCACGTCGCACTGTATGTAGTGGACCGGGTGGTCCGTGTTCCACGAGGGCCGGGGGCGACGGGCCACGCCGTACACCTTCCAGGGCCCTCCAGGGGTGTCCGCAACAGGGAGAATCCCCGCCAGGCTGTCACCCACGATACCAGTCACGCCCACGATCAGGGCCACCTTCTGTGGGGCCGCGCTATCTTCACCGTGTTTCTGCAATTCGTATTTATTAATCTACGAATCTTCAATTATTTGAGTAAATTAGTAGCATCTAGACTGTAGCCTCCCTCTGGACAACACACACACACAAAAGAGATACAGCTTGTGTAATTTCATAATTTCTGTAAAAATATAGCATAGTGGGAAATGCTAAGGTCCTGTTACGGAATCATTCCGTAGGAGTTTGTAACCGTTAGATCATCATGTAACCGTCAGAGATAGTTGATCTAACGGTTATAAACTCCAACGACATGGTTCCGTCACGAGACCGTAGCATCTTCCTAACATAGTAACGACTTACTAATAGAGATTGCTTCTGGAGTGTTGTAATTCAATTGTTTATAATTATAATTAAAAGAAAAAAAAAAGGAATAGGCAAAGAGACCGAGGGAACTTACAAGGGTTATTCTGCGAGCACCCTTCCACCACCAGCTCATTGTTAAGTCGAGAATTGGCAATGAATGGTTATAATGAATAATTCAGAAAGAGAACCCCCCCATTTGTAGGTGTTTCACTTACTCATGTAGTGTTTTATTGTGGCTATGATTGACATTATATACATGTTGAGTGCTTC